TTTCATTGGTATCATGTTTGGTGCATAACATGTATGAAATCGGCCAAAATATATATGTTAGCTATACCCAAACCTCAACTGATTTCAATATAATTTGGCAATTTTTTCTGGTGCCAGATTTTGTCTCTCTCGCTTTGGGTGCATCAAATATGTGAAATCGGATGAGTATATATATATATGGAAGCTATAATCAAATCTGAGCGTATTTGAATATAATTTGTCAAATTTATTTTTGTACCAAATTTAGCCACTCATGCCGAATTTCATTGGAATCGGAAATACGTATCGTGCTTTGTGCATCAAATATGTGAAATCGGCGGAAAATATATATGGGAGCTATATCCAAATCTGAACCGATTTTTATATAATTTGACAAATGTATATTTGTTTTAATTTCCGCTACACATTCCAAATTTCATTGAAATTAGAGATACATAGCGTGTTTGGTGCATCAAATACATGAAATCGGTCGAAAATATATATGGGAGCTATATCCAAATCTGAACCGATTTCAATTTAATTTGACATATTCATTTTGGCTCCCAATTCCGTTACTTATTTTAAATTTCATTACAATTGGAAATACATATCGTGTTTGGTCCACCAAATACATGAAATCGACCGAAAATGTATATGGGAGCTATATCCAAATCTGAACCGATTTCAATATAATTTGGGAAATCAATTTTTTAGATAAAATCTATCACACGTTTCAAATTTCATTGAAATTGGGGATACATAGCGTGTTTGGTGCATCAAATGCTTTAATCGGCCGAAAATATATATGGGAGCTATATCCAAATCTGAACCGATTTCAATATAATTTGACAAATTTATTTTCAGATCAAATCCCGTCACATATTCCAAATTTCATTGGAGTCGAACATTCATATTGTGTATGAGGCATCAAATGAACGAAATAGGTCGAAAATATATATGGGAGCTATATCCAAATCTCAACCGATTACAATATAATTTGACAAACTTATTTTTGTTCCAAATTCCGTTACGTATTCCAAATTTGGAGACTGTATCTTCAACCAATCAATAGATATGTGCATATAAAATCTAAATTTTTGGGAGGTACCTCCGATTCTGATGCTATATCTCCGGTTCCAAGTGGAAATTCAAAAATGTATATAGCCTATGTTATTTTCAGGCGATGTTGCAGTATATATGGAAATTTTCAGGAAAAATCTATTCAGCGGTTTTCGAGTCCATAAATTACAAACAAACAAACAAACATACAAACTTTTTCCTCTTTTATAGATATAGATGATCGTTCAGAGGAGGTAAAACCTTTTACAAACTCTAAAATCGTTAAAATAAAGAATATCGGGAGGTACCGTTATATCGGGGCTATAAGTAAGCGCGGAACTATATAGACAATGTTTTGCCACAGGATGCAAAACCTATTACACATTCAAAGTGTGTATCGGAAAGTAAAGTTATATTCGAGCTGTACCAATCTTAACTTGTCTACGGACAAAATACACATATGTTCAAAGTTTTAGCATTCTATATTTACAATTGTTTGATAATTAGCGTGATTACAACAGACAGACAGACGATCATCGCTAAATCGACTTAGAATTTTAGGACGAAAAAAAAAAAAAGTTACAAACGGAATAAAAAAGTTAATACATCCTCCATAATATGGTGGAGAGTATAAAAATAATATTTTTAATATAATATTTTATAATAAAAATTACTTTTATTTTAAAAACGTATGCAATAAAACATAAAACACATATAAAACAAAATGTGTTTGTAAGTTTTTACATTTCATAGAAAAAGATGACATTATATTTCACATTTATCCGTAGCTATTTTCGCAATGCTAGGATTGCTTATTATTTAAATGCTTATTTATTTAAATACTCCAAATGCTCTTGGCCATCAGTGTAATGATGTAACACCGCTCTTGTTTACACAACACGGTGGAAAACTTTTTCATCTTGCCGGACGTAAACACAATTGAACAATACAATGCTAATCAGTTGCCGCCATGAACGAACAAATATACATATGTATAAACATATAGTAAAAGCAAACAACCAAACGCTCCTAGCTACATATATGCAAATTAAGACATTGTAGCTCACTTGTTGCCCCAGACAATGTTAGTATAGCGGAAAGGTGTCCGGGAATTTTATTATTAGAGTTTTTAATGAGTAAAGAAGCCTGCTAAGCCGAGCTACTAACACCCTTCACAATGTGGATAACAAAAATTCTAGTAGTAATTCGTATCAACCATTTGAAATTAAAAAATCCATCTGTTAAGCAAATTATTTGATTTTTAATTCACATTATTCTATTTGTAATGCAAAACACGTTAAAAGCAGCTAAGTTCGGCCGGCCTAAAATTTTAAAAATTTCGAATATTAATATTTTTTAATTCGAATAAACGGGACTCTACAAAAACGCCAGCGAGGGCGGTGCTTATGACGAACTCCAAATACCAAGTTTAAGATAATTAGGTTTACAAATGTTGTTAAAATAATCCAAATACCGATTAAACGGAGGTACCGTTATATATGAGCGATACGAAGACGTTGTATCTCTTACGAACTTCAAATACTCATTATTCCAGTGAAAAATATGACACAAATCAACAAAATACCGAATATTGAGAGTTACCGTTATGTATGGCATATTCGAAAAAGTGGACGACATGGCCCATTTACGGACTTAGCAAAATTGTAGCCTTCTTTCTCAATTCGTTCGATAGATTGCATGATTACAACAGACAGTCGGACGGACATCGTTAACGACCTAGAATTTTACGCTGATCAAGAATATACATACATGAGTATTTCGAGGAATTACAAACGGAATGACAAAGCCAATATACCTTCCATAGAATGGGGTAGGGTATAAAAAATGAAATGTTAGACGTTGTTTAAGTTGGGTAAAAAGACATTTTTTAAATGCACACAATTGTTTAGCGTTTACGTGCACATCGATGTGTATTGTCTATTTTATTATTCCAACTACTTAATGGTCATTGTGAGTTTTCATTAGATACAAATTCGAATGTGGTGACCGCATTTTATAGGCGAAGTTATTTTGATTTGATATTTTATAATCTCAGTGAGTAGAACACTTCCTCCTAAAATATGTTCAGTGTAGATCCAAATAACGGCAGCCTCCAATTATTGCTTTAGTAAAGGTTCAGAGGTTAATAACAAGGGTTAAAGGTTCAGAACAACTTACGAAAAGTATCTCGAAAAAATGGGGTAGGTTATAGTTTAATTCCATTTTTACTTGTTTTTTTACCATCCGTCAATCAACTTTCTAATTCCGTTTTAACTCGTCGAATTATTAATGTTAGACTCTAAAAAGTATACATATTCTTGATCAACTCTCGATGCAGTGATGACCGTCTGTCTATCTGTCCGTTGTAATCGTTCGGTATTCAATATCCTCATGATTCAGGCACATTTTTTACGGAATTATTTAAAATTCAGTATGTAGAGTTTGTAATAGGTTCAGTTTTATATGACAGAGGAAGCTGGTAATTAAAACTAGCAACAACCACTGTAGGTTTTCTTTTCCTCAGGGTGGAGGGTATTTAAAGTTCGGCCCGGTCGTGTTTTTAATTGTTTTATTTTCACCGACTTTGGCCGATAAAGGTATACGTTTTCACATTTCTCTCAGCCTATCCGTCTGTGATAATCACTACAATGTTCGAAGGGATCGATCTGAAAAATATAGAAAATATCTCCTGAAAAATAACTTCCCTTATACAACGTTATATTTGTAATTCAGCTTATTTTTTACTAAATGGCTATAACACATACATAAAAAATTATATTTTGACGGTTTATAATAGCCCCCATATTTACATTGTAGGTATTGTAAAGGGCTTTGCAATATTTTCCAATCTTATGGCTTTTAATTCGTAATTTTGAATTGGTCTCGTTTAGAAAACCATGCCGCAAGAGATCTATTTTTGTCCACGTCAGTTTGTAAACCTTAAATAGTTAGTTCGCCGATTAAACAATGTCCGTTTGTTTTATTAATAATTGTATATATCGATCCTTGTGAAGTATACCTCCAATATCATTTTTCCTCATTCATCGACCAAAAAAGTCTTATTTGATATTTAATGTTTTCAGAAATGTAAATTCTTTTCCGACAATAATCATTTAATATTGCTTCGCTATACCCATATAACCCGTCGATTTGAGACATTTGGAAGGTTTTAGGAGCATTTTTTGAATATAAATTCTTTTGTCAAAGAATTGAAACAAAAGTCCATTATTTGCTGTATTCCTTACATATCAGTATATTCTAACAAGTATAAAAGCATTTGGAACAAATTCAAAATTCAATTTCAGTGAATAAAAAAGAAAAAAGGCATAAAGTAAAATCCGTTAAAATCTGTTAAAATCAGCAAAATCCCGAATATAGGGAGGTACAGTTATGTGGGGGCTATACCTGAACGTTGACCTATATAGTCTATTTTCAATACGAAAACTTATGCAGAACAAACACATATCTGAATAAAATTTTATCAACCTCCTTGAATACGTTCTCAAGCTAGAGTAAGACAGATGGCGGACATAGAAATTTATGCTGATCAAGAATATATACTTTGTGGGGTCTAAAATGTATATTTCGAGGTGTAACAAACGGAATGACAAACTTAATACACCCCCCATACTATCGCGCAGAGTATAGAAAGCCGCGCCGCTAGAATACGAATAACTCCCTGCCATAGAATAATGTATTGATTTTGTGTTTAAAAGCAATTTATTCGACATCCTGCTTATTAGATTTTTGTTGCTTGCGATACTGGACAGAAATCAGACGTTCTCCAGTTAACAGCGTTACATCTTCACACTTCGTACGAATGGGAATTGTTATGGCGTTTGTTGTTCTCTTTTATTTATTTTCAACATATTATTAATAATATATTCCGAATAAAATTGTTTTATTGTCTTTGACATATTGCAAGACTTTTGAACTCTCACAAATGCTTATTGACATTACAGGTACGTTGAGACCACCTGGTTTAATTGGAGGATCAAAGCCAAAAGTAGCTACACCAGCGGTTGTCTCAAAAATTGAACAATACAAACGTGAGAACCCGACAATATTTGCGTGGGAAATTCGGGAGCGACTGATATCTGAAGGTAAGTGGCTCATTAATAAATAAATGTATCTCTATCCACTTACTACACACTAAATTGACTACAATCGAACGAATAAATGCTAATTTAATGAGCCCCCCGACTTTGGGTTATTGCTATCGTCTACTCAGCTTTTGAGCGGGGTATTGAAACCAACGACAACAATGCATCTGGCAAGACTACAACAGCCAACATCGATCGGCACATTAACTTCAACAATGACAAAGGCAACGGCCGCAATCACAATTGAAGGAAATCAGCAATCGAATTAACGACAAGCTAACTCATTGCGGCGCTAATCTTGATTACGCAAATCAACAAACCGAAGCACTTCGATCGGGGTGGGCATCTGTTTGATGCGCACAGCATTGCACTCTTACGAACGGCGAGAATGCTCAAAAGCAACGAAAGATTGACTGGCGGTGTGTCCGCCAGTCACCGAACTAATGGCGATGGAGTTCATATACCATATGTACTGTGGAGTAGACGGTAATCAATACATGTGACCCCAGCTTATCCCACCAACTAAGTACGGAGTACTAGATGTGGTGCACTTGAAGATTTATTGATTAGCTAATTTATGAACATCCGTATTGTATGGAGTCTTTACGATGGATGTATGCTGTAAAGATTTCGGACCAAAGTAACTCAGAATGAATATGAATAGACAACCAGTGAGAAAATAGGGTAAAACCAACACAGGCATTTATCGTTCCATTCTCTCATCAATCGTCCTCATAATAAATTTCGCGTTGCTTATAGTATAAAGAGTGGTAGGAGATAAGACAATTTGAGTATCAAAATGTTGGATTTTCTAAAGCAGTTTGGATTTAATAGACATCTTAAAATGTCGTACGTGGCGATTTTCCACACCTAAAATAAAACTGTTTTCATTTCATAATATCGGTATTTATTGTAATAATAAAATAGAATTTATTAACATCTTTCCATTCATCACCATTAGATGGTTTTGTTACAAAGCAGCGCACTATGTGGTTTCACATTCAAAAAAAAAAATGTTAGCTAGTTTTTGCAGTGCCCACTTTGAAGCTTTTTGGACAAAATGGAAACAGGCTATCTGATGTAAAAAATAAGATTCTTGTTGTGTTGCGTCGCACAGTGTCATCACCGTTGCCAAAAATTGTCAAAACCATGTGCCTCGTAGTAATAATTTATTGATGGAAATTGATAGAAAACGCATTTCTGCATCAAGTATTTTTTTACTATATAAGGATTTTTGTCCTCTTTTTATAAAATAATATTTATAAAAGAGGAGGGAGGTGGCCCCCTCGGTCGGCAGGGACGGGAAAGAGTGGCGTTGGGACCGAACGAAAAAACATCGGTCGCTACAAATGTTTTTAGTGTTGCTGACAAACATGTTATTTGTAATTTTCAGTTCGGCCGGATCGAACTTTGGGTAAAGAAAACATTGTTATATAAAAGTGTCAGAATTCAAACGTGTTATATTTTAAACTACAATACCAATAAGGTCGTTTGAATAATGCTGTTAAATTGGTTAAATATGATCAGGATTATAAAAATACCGAATATCGATGGTGGACCTAAATATTAAATTTAAATCTGCCACCGAAACTAGCACCCATTATGAACTACAAATACCAATTTTTACACAATTCCGTGGAAAATGTGGCAAAAATAATCAAAATACGGAATATCGGGAAATACCGTTATATGCGGCCTGTACGAAAACGTAGATCTATACATACAATGTTCCGCTACCAGAGCTAGAACCCATTGCGAACTACAAATAACAATTTTTGGAAAAATCTGTGGACAAATGTGGCGAAAATCATCAAAATAGCGATACTCATACTCACGTTAGACCCTACAAAGTAGATATACTCTTGATCAGCGTAACATTCTGTCTGTATCTTGTAATCAAAAAGCCAAAGTTATAAATTCGTGAAGGTTCGTAATGGTCCATATCGGTAGACGTTTTCGTATATCCTCCGTCTGTCTGTCTTGTGTGATCACGCCATCTTTCGAAAAATTGTAGATGGCCCATGGTTTTTGTATCTTCTATATCTATAAAAGAGGAAAATGTTTGTATGTTTGTTTGTTTGTATGTTTGTTTGTTTGTTTATAATTTATGGACTCGAAAACCGCTGAATATATTTTCCTGAAAATTTCCATATATACTGCAACATCGCCTGAAAGTAACATAGGCTATATACATTTTTGAATTTCCACTTGGAACTGGAGATATTGCATCAGAATCGGAGGTACCTCCCAAAAATTTAGATTTTATATGCACATATCTATTGATTGGTTGAAGATACAGTCTCCAAATTTGGAATACGTAACGGAATTTGGAACAAAAATAAGTTTGCCAAATTATATTGTAATCGGTTCAGATTTGGATATAGCTCCCATATATATTTTCGACCGATTTCGTTCATTTGATGCCTCAAACACAATATGAATGTTCGATTCCAATGAAATTTGGAATGTGTGACGGGATTTAATCCAAAAATAAATTTGTCAAATTATATTGAAATCGGTTCAGATTTGGATATAGCTCCCATATATATTTTCGGCCGATTTCAAGCATTTGAAGCACCAAACACGCTATGTATCCCCAATTTCAATGAAATTTGAAAAGTGTGATAGATTTTATCTAAAAAATTGATTTCACAAATTATATTGGAATCGGTTCAGATTTGGATATATCTCCCATATACATTTTAGGCCGATTTCATGTATTTTGTGGACCAAACACGATATGTATTTCCAATTGTAATGAAATTTAAAATAAGTAACGGAATTGGGAGCCAAAATGAATTTGTCAAATTAAATTGAAATCGGTTCAGATTTGGATATAGCTCCCATATATATTTTCGACCGATTTCATGTATTTCATGCACCAAACACGCTATGTATCTCTAATTTCAATGAATTTTGGAATGTGTAGCGGAAATTAAAACAAACATACATTTGTCAAATTATATTAAAATCGGTTCAGATTTGGATTTCAAATGAAATTCGGCATGAGTGGCTAAATTTGGTACAAAAATAAATTTGACAAATTATATTCAAATACGCTCAGATTTGATTATAGCTTCCATATATATATATATATACTCATCCGATTTCACATATTTGATGCACCCAAAGCGAGAGAGACAAAATCTGGCACCAGAAAAAATTGCCAAATTATATTGAAATCAGTTGAGGTTTGGGTATAGCTAACATATATATTTTGGCCGATTTCATACATGTTATGCACCAAACATGATACCAATGAAATTCAGAATGTGTGGCGGAATTTGGTTACAATAATAAATGTAACAAATTAATTGGAAATTAGTTAAGATTTAGATATAGCTCCCATATATATATTCTCGGCCTATTTCATATATTTGACGCACCAATTTCAATGAAATATGAAAGGTGTGGCGGAATTTGGTGTAAAAGTAATTTTTTAAAAATTATATTTAAATCGGATCAGATTGGGATATGATTTTAATAAGAACCATTGACCCACAACGCCTTAGGCTAACACTAAAAACCAACACAACAATTGATTTGAAACACGCTTATAACGGCGAAGTATGTTGCTATCTCGAATTCACTAATTGCAATAAAATGCCACTCAACTTCAAAAGATTGCAGTTTACTGCACGCTTGGTATTTGCTATGAAATAAATAAATCCGAAAGACAAACTCTTCGTGTATGTACGTCATTTTACTGCTTTTCTAATGGTTTTGGTTATTTACGCATTAAAGTAGTGCAATATTTTTTTATAATTTTTAAATTTGTTTTTTCTTTTTTTAACCAACATATATATTTATTTGCATATATATATTTTGAATGCATATAAAATCAAAAGGGGTAGCGAAGCGCACCGGGTTCAGCTAGTCTTTTATATATATAAAAGAGGAAAATGTTTGTATGTTTGTTTGTAATTTATGGACTCGAAAATCGCTGAACAGATTTTCCTGAAAATTTCCAAGTATACTACAACATCGCCTGAAAGAAACATAGGCTATATACATTTTTGAAATTCCACTTGGAACTGGAGATTTAGCATCAAAATCGGAGGTACCTCCCAAAAATTTAGATTTTATATGCACATATCTACTGATCGATTACAGATACAGTGTCCAAATTTGGAATGAGTAACGGAATTTGATGCAAAAATAAGTTTGTCAAATTATATTGAAGTCGGTTCAGATTTGGATATAGCTCCCATATATATTTTCGGACGATTTCATATATTTGATACACCAAAAACGACACGTATGTCCGATTCCAATGAAATTCGGTATGTGTGACTAAATTTGGTACAAAAATGTGTTTGTAAAAATATATTGAAATCGATTCTAATTTGGATATAGCTCCCGTATATATTTTCAGCCGATTTTACATATTTGAGGCACCCAACGCGATGTGTACGTCCGATTCCAAAGAAATTTGGACAGAGGGACGTCTGGTACCAAAAAAAATTGCCAAATTATATTGAAATCGGTTGAGGTTTCGGTATAGCTCCTATATATATTTCGGCCGATTTCATGTATGTTGTGCACCAAATAAAATTCAGAATGTGTGGCGGAATTTGGTTACAATGATAAATTTGACAAATTAATTGGAAATCGGTTAAGATTTGGATATGTATCCAAATATATATTTTCGCCGAATTACGTGACGCAATTTGCTATAAAAGTAAATTTCGTAAAATTAGTATTTTTTTTTTAATTTTTAAATTTGTTTTATTTTTTTAAGCCAACATTCGCTTATAAAATTTTGAAAGCATGTAAAATCAAAGGGGGCAGCGAAGCCTACCGGGCTCAGCTAGTTGTTCCATATAATTGAATCTCCCGATATTCGGTTTTAGCCAAATTTTCTAACGAAAGTGTTTCAAATTGGGCAGTTTTTCTTCGCAATAGATACCCATCAATGTACTAAATAACTGTTTTCTTTTTAATTTTTTATTTGTATGGCTTAATTATAGTATAGCTCGAATTAAGTTTGCGTGTGCTTC